TGATCATCGACTTCCTCGAGCGGGCGCCAGTAACGTCTCCATTCGTCCCTGTCACGAGCCAGAGCGGTCCAGTGAATCGTCCTCGTTTCAGGAACATAGGTCCAACAATCCTTTCGTTCAGAGTTTTCGGGAAAAAGTCTGACCCTCTCGTTGGCTGCCGTCCTGGAGTTCGTTTGATGTCCCGAGAAATCCAGTCAGTAACTGCCCTGGTCCACATCACTCATCACTATATCGCATAACATGTCCTGCCCACCTGATCTTCTATTTCTTGGCGTAATTAACGGCATACCTGATCTTCGTTCGATGACGGAGCAAGAAACTCTGGATTCCTTCACGTATTTGATTCCGAGCGTCGTCCTTTTCAAAGCGCGCGCTGACAGCATGCTCATCTTGCTTCCTTAGAGTTTAAGTCTGTTCCGAGGCGTACGTCAAAGCAGGAAGCACAGCAGTGTCGGAAATGTGAGCGCGGGGCTGTTCTCTGTTTTCTTCACTACTCCCTCGATATTTTTAAATGCTCGCCACGCGGCCCGTTACCTTCTGCACAGCTCTGCTCTTTCGCTGTCAAGGTTGGCCAGCATTCATTCCGCCTGCTCGATGTTCGGTGTTATGAGCACGATGTAGTCTTTGAAGCGGAGGTGATGAATATGGTCGACCTTCACTTCCAAGCCTCCCCTCATTCCAAATGACGCATTTTATAGTCGGGAGCGGCACTGAAAAGTTTGATGGTATCGCCCTTTCGAACGCCTCTCTTCACGTTTATAATGACTTCCTTGTAAAATGGTGAAATCCTCGTTGTGAAGTTGTCGTAGAGCTCACGAAGCATTCTTATTTATTGAGTGCTAACACCATGGTTGCCCAGGGCTCCAATTACCGCTTTCGTCTCAACGGTATCAAGGACTTTCTTCAAATCGATGAACATAAGACATAACGGCATTTCGTACGTTTGTACGCTCGCGATACCTCAATGAGTCTTGTAGGAGTGTGGATATGATCGATTATGCTGAACCCTCTCCGGAACCCTGCTTGCTCGCATAGCTGTCCTTCATCTGATATTCTGTCAATCCTGTTCAGGATGACGCGAGTGAAAAGCTTGTAGATTACAAACAGCAGACAGCGATGGTTGCCAATACCATCTAAATGTAACTTTTTATACAGCACCACAGTCTTGCTAGTTTTTCACGACGTGAGCACTTTGCATTCCGACAGGTACCGCGTGAAGAGCCTGACCAGAGTTCTGACGATAACTGGTGAAAAACTACCCAGATATTCTGGTTTGATCCTATCGGGACCGAGCGCAGTACAATTCTTCATCGACGTGATTGCATTTCGAAATTCGGAATCGGGAACCGGAGGAGCAGTATATCCGTCTTGCATAATATGGTGGGTAGACAGGTAGTCGTTGCTGTCGAAGAGATCCGAGTGGAAGTCTAGATAACCTTCTCCATTGCCCTTCGAAATGCAGTAACTGTTCCGTCAGGACGACGAAGGGAAGTCACTTTGACCTTATAATCGGCGAAACTCGGTCGAGCTTTGCGAAATGCTCTTCCCAGTCTCGGCGGCTTCGTCCATAACTGCTGCCCTCCTCTCTTTCACATCTTCCTTTATTGCTTCTCTGCATAGCTTCGCTAGTCCGGACGTTTGTTGATGATTGCCTGTAGCTCGCGCATTTCCACGCTAGCGAGAGTCTGAAGAGAGCCGTCTCTTCTTGTGGTCTCTCCGCTTTCCCAGCACATTGTGGAGATGTTTGACGAGCCAGTTGTATTTTTCATTGATGCTATCGTAACGGAATCTTCCCATTCACTCGCAAGGGAAGCGAAGTGGTCCCAGTTGATGGAGGCCTGGAAGCCTCGTTTCCTAAACTTTGTAACTCTCTCTACACGCACTGAGAAGCAGAATCTAGGTGAAGGAGAGAGATGGCCCGATCCCTTGCAGAACTTCGGAGCAACAGCGATGTTAGTCAAGCAAAACCTCCTATTGAATATGATGTGGATTATTTAGTTATAGCTGTCCACCAGGTGACCATCGCAGTCTATGTCCATCGCAAATGAGAGGGCTCCTGGTACTGCGAGTTATCATGGATGGTGTGGGTCGACATGATAAACTCGGACAGCCCTTCACCCTGCTATTCCATTCCAATCCGTGAGTCCCGATGTGGAGCTTATCAGTCGTTCTTCTAGAGCCAATCTTGGCGTTAAAATCACCGACGATCGCCTCAAAGAAAGGTGGTCTTCTTGTAGAGCCTCTCCATCGATGGTGGTGCGTAGGCAATGGAGATTGTTAGAGCTGGGGTTGAGCCACAATTCTCAATCACAAACGTCCGGTTCGAGCTGTTAAGCTTTCGTATGTTCATGGCCAAGGTGTATTGACGACCTATGCTGCCGACACCTCTGCTGTCGCATGCTGCAAGGAGCAGTTCTTCTGCAGTCTCAAATACAGCGTGCAGCGGGCGATGCCTTCTGCTCTCGGTCAGTCCGATGACGTCGCACTTGATCTCTCTAGCTCATATCATCAGGTCTTCTACACACGCTACCGATGCAAGCGTCCGTGCGTTGAAAGTACAGATCGCCATCTTAGTCCTCCTCCTTTTAGGCAGCCTGTTTTGGTCCTGAGATTTTAGCACCCTCTCCCGAGCGGTCCTACCCATAGCCGCTGTATTGGGGGCTCCCTCAGGTTCAGGGGAATGAGGCCCATCTATATCACAGTTTTTGGCAACTGAGTGCACAGCCTATAGCTTGCCAGGCTCTGACGTGGGGGTTGACTTCGGTAGCCAGGCTATCCTGAAGCTTGGCTGAGGGGCTTATTATATCCATGTCGCATCCCTAGATTCGGTATTTGTTTATTTCTTCAGGCTCTAGACCTTCTCTTCCAACTCCTAAGTCCTCCTCTTTATTTCCGGCCGTCGTTTGCTCTCCCAAACCTTAAATCACTTCTATCTCCTCTGCAGAATCGGTTATTTTACCCGAGATCACCTTTTTATACTGCTAGCATCTACTTCCGTTACCTTCGTGATCTTCCTCCACTGATTACCATCCTTCCTCTCTTCTCTCCCGTTCTTTATCCGTTTACCTTAACTATCCTTATTCTTCTACAATACAGATTCTTCATTTTTTTGTATCGTCATATTCCTTTTCTAACTTGTCGACGAGTGATTGCAAACCTACTCTGCTAGATTCAACTAGAATCCTTCTAGCAATCACTCTAACTTCGTTTGAGTATTCGTCGGGTTGTAAACTCTCGTTCTTCGGGGCTCATTTCCTCTGCGTACGACCTGTATTTGTGGAGAAAGGTCCCAAGTGCACTTGCACACTGAGCCCGATGGGACCTATATGCAAGATGAGGGCCTTTTCCTCTCTCACAGTTCATTTAATTGTTTTTCTTCACTCTTCCAATTCCCATTTCTTTTTTTGGAGTTGTTAATTGAGGTATTGCCTTTAAGTGGTGGCATATTTCCTAGTTCATGGAAAGCGGAACCGATTAAACTGAGATATTGTGTGCAAATATTTCCGCTTATACTATTACTTAGTCTGCAAATATTGTTACCAATCAACCCCAGAAAACCTTTTTATCCCATGTGGCGCGTAACGACACATCAATTTGTAGGTCCAAGAGCGCTCCGTCACTACCTCATTCTGCGCGAAACCCAGAGTTTTAAATAGATGAAGGAAACAAACAACGAAGGGTTAGCGGGATTAGAGACATGACCGCAGAAATATCCAGTACAGAGTCGAAAATTCACGACAGTCCTACGAAAATTTGGGGGACGGAGCATGAGGGCGTCCGGAGATATGGGCCGCGAAATTCGTGGCAGTTTGAACGACTCAAGGGCTTGACATTGGGGTCCGAATTTGAAGTAGAGTAGATTAGTAGGACCAGCTAATCCCATGAATTTTCTTTACTCTAAACTTGCGGCCCAATGACTGGCATGGATGTATGTCGTTTGGCGCGATGGGCGGGGTTGCGCTGCCCATTTGAGGCGGATCGCAGGATGAACAACTCGTTCAGTTCGAGCAACCCTTTGTTTGTCCTCTCCAGCTGATAGAAGCGCAATCAATGACGCCGCCACTATTAGATACCGAATTGCGGACCTGCTTGTATTCTGCCTACATACATAATCCATTTGGCGCTTTTGTGTTATTGTTATTGCTTCTTGTGCTTTCACAATCTGCTTTCTCCATGGATCTTTTTTGAAGGATATTTGTTTTTGAAGAAAAAGCACAAAAAGCAATAAAAAATTTTACAAAAGCGCCAAATGGTTTATGTATGTAGGCAGAATACAAGCAGGTCCACAATTCGGCGTCCAATAGTAGCGGCGTCATTGATCGCGCTTCTATCAGCTGAAGAGGACAGACAGAGGGTTGCTCGAACTGAACGAGTTGTTCGTCCCGCGATCCGCCCCAAATGGGCGGCGCGACCCCGCCCATCGCGCCAAACGGCCAACTCCCGAATTACCCATGCTCCGAAAATTTGCCGTAAAATAAAATGTACTGGACGCAGAATTCCAAAACAAAATATTTCCCTCGTGGTACAACACTATTTGAACAGACAAACCCTCACCCGACACGTATACGAAGCTACAAAATGGGAAAAGGACCGGGCTGTTGCTCGGTTAACTAGGAGGTTACGTTGCAACAACGCGCACTCGCTTGAGCCAAGACCCGTAGCCGTGTTTGCTGTAGTACTGACGTGCAGTACGTTTACGTTCGTTTTTGTGTGTTCATCAGTCATAAAATGGGGAAGGGCAGACAGGCATCCATCGTAAAATAACGTGCTCTGGAGCAGAGGCTGCGAAGCAGCTGTTCTTTTAAGGAGAACGTCTAAATCTCTGCGACAAACAGATTTTGCTTTTAACTTTTAATCTCACAAGTGCAGCCTTCAAATTGTCTGATTCCATAGCCAAGGCCTGTTCATGTGTTTTGTTTTCTGTCTAGAATCATCCACTATGTTGTTGTGTTGAGCTGTGTCAATTTTTGTCTCTTCCTGTAATAGTTCATTCAGGTACAATGTTCCCAGCCTATGCTAATTCGGCTCCTGTAGAAAGGGAGGAAGGAGAGCTTGATGACGGTGACAACTACTCATCTTTCGAAACGCAGCAAAAGATATTAGAAATCCGCGAGTTGGTGAGATCATTTTGGGGAATACCTCATTATGTATTGGAGCCTATTACTTCGAAGAGGAATAAATTGTTATGATTAAAGAAAGAAAAAAAGGCGAAAGAGGAACGCATGCGAGAGAGGAAGAAAAATGAAGCTGCTGTTCGATACATATACAGCGACGATGATGATGAAGACGCAGAAATCCACGTACGTCAGTTATACGTTCTTAAATTTTGAAAGTAGCAAAAGCTAAGGAGCACTATGGTCGAGAGATGATTATTGCCATTTAATTGCTTAATTGTAATCCTTTCAAGGATGGTCTAGTCAAGGGCAGAAGAGTTTTGCATCCGAATTTGACTTGGTGTTTTTTGTTTGTCTTTCGTTTGCCGCAGTTCGCGAATCAAAAGTTATAGTAGGAGGGCTGAGTTATTGGCAAATTTTGAAACTTGGAGAATAGAGGCATGTTCTTATCCCTCAAAGGATGTCAAGCCAAGAAATGTTGGCGATTATTGGCTTACAGTGAGAAAATTGAAACTTGAAAATCTACAAACAAGTTCTAGTTATAGAACACACTGACATGACTAAGTAACAAAGGCGGTTTAAAAGCCTATGCAGCTGTTCCTGAACAGCATTTCATAACATCATCTGGTTCAAACCATTTCGTGATAAAAAGTGCTAGTGAAATGCTTTGCCTTATTAGATCCTATAGAATCGCAGGATCATGTATGCTAATAGCCTCATCCGGTTCTAGTATTGGATTCGTGAGTGGGGCAAAAACTATGTTCACATTGATATCCAAGTAAGGAAAAGCGGCATAAAAACTTATTCGTAGGCAGTATCCTCCCAAGTCACTGCTAAAGTCATACCTTCCACTAACCTTGCTCAGCAAACTTGCTAGGAATAAGTATGAGCTTGTGTTGCTCCTAAACTCAGCGTAGTTTCGATATTATGTATGATATGTTTAGCAGCCTGCGCCTGCGCCACATTTCACTCCTATCAGTGAGGAGAAGGTTGATTTACCAATTTCAAAGAAGAAGAAAAAGTCGACAAAATCTAGACGAAAAAAAGAAAAGCGGAAACGCATGAAGCATATGAGGTAACTGAGACGCTCAGTGTGGTGGTTTCTCAATCTGACCGTGACAATATTTAATTCATCCAGGGCTACATCGAGTTCTCCGGAGTCTCGCGATCGCAGCAGTCGGAAAAAGTATGATCCTCTTAGTATTTTTTTTATTTATATTATGATCCTCTTGGTATTTCTTTATTTAATTACCACTTCTTGGCTCTCAGGAAAACCCGCTCGAGCGATTCAAGCAGTTCTTCTTCCTCTAGCGATTCCGATGATCAAAGCAGAAGGCGGAAGCGCCGCGAATCACCAAAACTGAACGTAGTGGGTATCAATGTGCCTTGGTTTCACTAACGACCATTTTTTAACACCTCAGAGCACGTAACCCTTATGGAAAACTTTGCAAATGAGCATAGAAATATAACAGTAACTCTTTGGTAACTGAGAAATTCATCCTCATTACAGAAGAAGGGGAAATGGGAGTTCCTTGCTGATAGAGAAGAACGCTCTAACGAAGGCTCTTATATTGGTGAGGGTTCTTCAAATCTTCCTCCTTCATACTAATGAAAAAATCGTTTTCTGCAGTTTTCCATACTTCATACGACCACGAAATTTTCCAAATGGATTCTATTCCAAAGGGGCATACAGCAGAGTACAGAAATCAATTCTGCTCAATATTGAACGGTAATGAGCGATTGGTTGAGGTGAGTTATTTCACCATAAGAACTTGAGAAGATTAATGCCTCCATCACCATCGAAAATTGGTTAATAGAGCGCGGTTGTGCTGGTCGAACGTTACGAATTCAACTTCCATTAAAAATTCTAGATAGATGTGAATAGTGTGTGGTCTCTGTAATGCTAGCGATCGGTAAGCAGACAGTAATTTGTAGTGGGGGTGTAGAAAGTTAACTTAATCGTAGAAGTGGTCTTAAGACTCTTTTTCCTCTTGCCTGCCTACATTTTGCTGTTGTACACGTTCCTCGTCATAGTCGATTTTCATTAGTGGCTTGCGTGGAGTGGTTAATGACAGTTTTTTTGCCCCAAATGGAAAGTAGTAATTTAAAATTCACACTTCCTTCATCTCGTCGCTTGACGTTTCTTCTTCTTTTCGTCGGTTATTTCGATTTTTTAGCAGTAATCTCCTGACTTTATCTAATAGAAGAGTAATGTGGTTCAGTGGTCGTTATATAATGAGCTCGTTTTAGTTGTTTTTCTCGAAGGAGATGCGTGATTTACGGGAAAAGAGATTGCGGTCGGATCGATATTATGGTGGACAGCTTCGAAAGCTGAATGACTCAAATGTGGAACGAATATTCCGAAAAAAGGAACCGTTATACCACACAAACATAGACTACATCGCTTTGTCTCACACACCGGATCGCGAATTTCGTCTTTTGGTAATACGGTTTGCCAATTATGTTTTTCGCTTGTTTTATTTCTTGCGCTTTCAGCATGAAATCGCTGAAAGAAAGCGCGTCGAGGAACAGCAGCAGGCACTCGAACTCCAAGTTGAGGTAGGTGTCTTTCTGCGTTATTCACACATCTCATCGGGTGCTGAGTGATGTTTTTGTGCAGTCAGACTCCATAGGCGCAAACTTGGTTTAGCTAACGACTCCACCTAAACTGGTTGAACTGGAATTACAAAGACAACGAGTTGCTGCTGAGTTCTCAAAAGATTCCAGGAACTCGGCTCTCCTTGATCAATTTCTCAAGATTAATGTACGTTCTTTGTAGCATTTACCAATTTCACTTGCATGCTCAATGCGATTCAGGAAGAAATTTTCGAGAGCAGTAGTCCTGGTGGTTCCACAGAAAACCGAAAGGCCCTTGTTGACCGCCAGCTGGCAATAATTGACCAAGTATGGGCCTTTCCGTGTTCGGTTTATTTCATTGTTTTACACTATTCGTTTAGGCAATATCTTGTCATCCTCGTAAGATCGAGTATCGTTTGAGAAGGCTTGAATTCTTAAAGGAAGTTAAGCCGAGTAGAGAGGTGTTATCTGAATGGGAGAAGGTTTATTTTCTTCGTTTTCTCTTGATTTTTTTCATCATCTGACAATCCAGCATGTAATGTCATTTGAGTTTTTTTTTNTTTTTTTTTCAGATTCTGAATGCATTTGTTAATAGTTGCTCGATGTGGGAGAAATACTTGGATTTTATTCAGTACGACATGGCGTTCTACTCTTGTGAACTTTTGGTCTGGTGACTTTCATAATTTAAAGTCCTATTAACAACCCTTAACATAGCCAAATTCAGGAAAAAGCGTTCGATCGGTGTTTTGCTAAATTGCACGATATTCTGAATGGAGTGTTCAGGTAATTTTCTTTGGTTTCTGTTCAGGTAATTTTCTTTTCATCCAAGTACGAGTTAGCTCTTCATTAATTCACCTTTTCTCGTATCATCTGGAAAACCACCGATCGGTGGCGCTGACAGTGCAATATGTTGAATTTGCTTACCTTTGGTTTTGAACCATGAATCGTTTTTTTTTTTTACCTCTACCAGTGCCCCAAGTAAGAATGGAGTTAGATCAAAGGCACGTGGTAGAGCTCAGGGTTTGTCTGATTGGGAGTCGAAACCATATAGCTATGAAGAAAGTATTGATCATTTAACAAACTAGTCACCTGTGCTTTTTGAAAAGCAAGTCTAGGTCAGGCGGCTATAAGCTCCCACTAAACTCTGTTTAACCAATCGGATGTCACGAGAAACAGTAGTAATCAAGAGCGTGCAAAGTAGTCCTGTATTTAAGCCTTGACCTTTGCGTTTTCCCCATCTGGCTACATAAATCACTAATTGTAAATCCTCTTAGGAAGAGAAGTTATTCGAAGATCTTTGAGTGATCCTTCTTGGAACATTTTTCCCTAGAGGACTACGGGGGTTTGTTTGAAGTGATATCTTATGAGCTTACTATCAAGATCACAGGTTACCGTCATGAGCGCTTTTAAACGCTGATTCAAATCTGCTTTCAAAATCTTAAAAACGGTTTCGGAAATGAAACGATTTGCCGAACCGTCGGCGAATGCAAAATGCTTTTGTGCCTCACAGTGACTATCTACTGCCCTGCTTTACATTTGAGGAACACAGGAAATGGCAGGTGACGGTAGGTGATTACATGTGGTAGGGATGATCGAACGTGATTTAGTGTCACATAACCTGTAGATGTGATCTTGGTCTTCCATAACTCCTACCGATGTACCACGGTTCCCTGTTGATGGAAAGGGCGCATGACGCTCTTTGTATTTAAGAACGGAACGGTGGTACTTTGGTAGGTGTTTTGGATACTAAGAGATAGTATATGTTCAATACGCGGAACTGATAATGGTTGATAGGTGGTTACAGAAAGAAGTGTCACCGCGTCGTGACCCCGTCCGCGGTAGCGTTGGAACCTCGACATTTTGGGGCGCGTTGTGGAGTGTGAGACAAAACTATTTTGTGTTACGAGCTGGTAGCCCCTTTTGCAGGCTGATCGCGGACTTTACAACTCAGTAGTCACTGAATTCTTCTATGATCTCTTAGTAAGAGATATGCTTCCTTACTTCACTGCTTGGTATAGCGTATGAAAGGATCGTTGATACCGGATAACAGAAAACCGTAGCTTCTGATAAACGAACTCTCTGGGCAAGATATGCTCAGGCAATAAAGAAAACTGATTGCAGTCAATGCAATATCAGGGAAGCAGAATTTGGGTTAGTCCTTGCTAATAGATGACGACAACTCATAGCTCATATCTGTGAAGAGTAGTCAGATAGGACGACTTACGCCCAATTCCTCCTTTTGTGAAAAATTCAGAGTATTCTGTTGACTTAGAAGAATAGTATTCCTTCGGAGTAAAATTGTAACAACACCATTATTCATCAAATTTCTAAATGATGAGTGTTCGGGATCAAGCTCTCATTCTAACTCGGCTTTATTCCTCACTAAATTACGCTTAGCAAGTGATCAATAGCATTGAAAATTGATGACGTGTATGCCTATGATTGTATGCCTTGATCTGATGCTCTTGATCTTATCGTCTGAGGGTGTGTTTTCTTTTATCGGGTCCACTGGAGGAACGGCTTCTCCGTAACTGGGATTTAGAAGGCATAGTGAAGCAGGGTATTTGCAAGGGGGTCCAAATTTGATTTGTTTTTTGCTATTAAGTTACGACCGTTTCTCTACAGCGAATTTTTCGCTGGCGCTCGAGAGATTTCTATCTATTGCGATTGATCCATTTAATAACCATCCATTAGAAAATTGATCCTTCTTTTTATTTCGTTACTCTAGCACCGACTTCTCTACAGTCGAGCAACTGGTTAATCAACAGGTCTTGTGTGATACTTGCTAATGTTGTCATGTGACGATAACAGCGCTATTGAAAGACCGTATCCATGACACTTCCTATCTTCATGTACATAAATCATCGGTTGAGGTTCTCACATTGTTGATGGTCGACAGATAACATCGGAATACGTGGTCCTTATTGAGTTGCAATCCTTGAAGTGTACGCGTACTCGTCACAATCTGATAGCGAGGACCGCAACTCTGCTCTTCTTTTGTGCTAATGACTTTGATAGGTTATTGTCACCGCGCTTATCATTCATTTTTGTCAGCTTGCCCTCTCATCCTGTTTTGTCCTACGAAACAGGTCAAAACATCCTACTTATATGACCAGCTAAGTGTGTTCGTTGGTGTGTTTGTGTGTATGTGTGTGTGTGTGTGTGTGTGTCCGACCGT